TTCTGAACGATATAAATAGTTAAAACAATAATTTGTGTGAAATCCCTTCGTAATTATTTCTTTGCACATAATCCCATCATTTTCATCACAAGTTCTTCAGCTGGGATGCATGTCTCGCTTTGTGAATCACTAGAGTAAAGTAAGCAAAAGTATTTAAAATATTTTTAAGAATGTTATTTCTCCGCAACGTCTATAGGAAATTAATATTATTTACACTATTTTACAAGCGCCTAATGTCTTCAAAACATTTCTGCCGTTGCGCCCTTCGGCCTTTATCAGGTTTATGTTGATTCTCGAAATCTACAGGCAATTCCCAACCGAGTACCCTATTTAATTTGCGGTGTGTTGTAGCATACCTACGGTGATTCACATAAATACAGTAGTAAATACTCTGTTAGTCTGCGTTTGGAGATTCGTCTCCAGCTGTGCTGGTCGGACTCTCTGCCACTGTGCAGAGAGGGTCCTCAGACGGGGCTGTATCGAGCGGCAGTCTCGTCTCGGGAGGCAACTGCCCGACTCCGTTATATAAGTTTTGGTCGAGGCGACGGCCTCAGATACCCCACATTAGATTCGGCCTTGTGCCACATTTGACCGCGTGAGGCGGTTGGTAGATATCCTGCAGTTGGAGATTCGTTTCCAACGGTGTTGGTCAAACTCTTTGCCTGGAGTTGAAGGGCAGTCTCTCGTCTCGGGAAACAGCTATCCGACCCCTTTTTTATACGGGTTCTACAGGTAAATTTTGGCCGAGCCTACGGGCTCGGATACCCCACATTAGATTCGAACTTGTAACATATCTGACCGCGTGTGGCGGTTGGTAGATATCCTGCATTTGGAGATTCATTATGGAATTCACTTGACTCCTAAAAGTTGACTATTACTTCCGAACGCCGCTGGCGAATCGTATCGTTTATTACCAACATTCGTTTTACTCTTCTATTCAGTAACCGTCCACAGGTTACAACACAGTGGTATAAATTTCTCCATAAATTATCCATTTGAAGGATTATCTCGTCTACATTTTATAAGTTTTTTTTTTATTATTATTTTTAGTATTGCTCTGTTAATGCCCGTCTCCTTTCCACTGAATCTAAATACACATTGACCGGCACAGCGATTTAATTTCCACATATATATCCCCATATTCAAGAACCGACATTTTTATCTGTTAGGCTACTGTGTGGATGGAAATATTGTATGTATTGATAATTTCTCAGCCGCAAATGACAGAAATAAATTAACATCCTACATTAACTTTAGTAATGAAGTGTCATCGTAACAACGCTTTGGTTTTTCTCACTTTCGTTCTTAGGATAAGGAGCTACATTCTTTGTTTTATTCGACAGAGCTCTTTAAATTGTCCTTGATTCTGGGTGGATGTCTTCGATCATTTCATTACTGTGAAATCACTTCTGCTTTCTGCTGCAACAGAATTTACTAATTCTTTCAGTTAATTATGTTGCTGAACAAAAGTTCATATCTATTAGCCAGATACTTAAATTGTGATACCTTAAATTTAAAGTTTGTTATTTCCTCATCCAAATCGTCCTGTGTTTGACGATAAACTACGTCCAACGGTAAGGCCTCTGATCAGGAGGTTTTGAGGAGCGTGGAACCACCTCTTGATTGATGGTGTTCCAAAGTCCACCCTGACCCGGGGAGGTAGCACCAGTTAGGGTCCCAGCTATGGGCCAATAGTTGACACCCAAACTTGTGGAAAAATAGATTTTAATACCAGAAATACTTTGTAATAAAAAATATTACTAGCAATAAATTTTGAAGGAAAAATTATTATCAGCAATACTTGAAAAAAATGTACCCGGAATACAACCATCTATACATTCTTTGAAAAAGATATTACCAGCTATAAATTACTTCAAGGAAAAATATTCCCAGACATAGATTTATGAAGAAAAACATTACCAGCAATAAAAAAAAATTGTCTGCATTAAATGATCCAATGAGGTTAATATGCCGTAGACCAAACTAAACTAAACCAAACCAAACCAAAGCCTCATCCAAATTCGGATATGATATTTATTTTTATGGTAGGCTTACATGGGAGGTTTGTAAAGACTATCAGATTCATTGACTCATATGTCATTATATTTCGGAAATTTAGTCTTGTATTATTTAATTTTATTTCACAGAGTTTAATAACATATTTTTATCTCCACATATGATCAGTAATTTTTAATCCCATTGACTATTCAAGTATTACAGCTTTTCCATTTTCAAACGGTATTTAAATAGTCGTTGGCCTTTCATTTAACAGCAATAAAAAAATCAAAGCCGGTACAACGCTGAAGGAGGTCGACTAGGATGTCCTTGACACATCTGACGACAGGATTATTGCATCGATGCAACTTTCCCGTTTCTATCGATGTTTAATTATAACATATGCTTTGCCATATTTTGTACCCACTCTATACATGGCTAAATCAGTAAACATCTTATTCAGATTGAAGAAGCCCTTTCGACGGGAAAAAAAGGTTCTTTCCCATTTTGGCAGTAGTCAATACGTTTTATTTCAAAATGTCAGGAAATAAATCACTTTAAATAAATACATGTGTATGTAAAGCTGTCAGGATTAGTAATGATAATCGAAATGCATTATTGTGTTTTGGACATGCATGCTATATTTTCCAGAGGTTAATAACTAATATATATATATATATATATATATATATATATATATATATATATATATATATATATATATATATATTAACCAATTCTGAGCCATTATAAACATTGTGACGAAGATAAATCCGGAAAAAAATTAATGGATAATAAATAACAGCCTTTTTTATATAACAGATTAATATATTACAAGGGATATTTATGTACTGTTAGGCACATATAAATTACTCGATTTGGCCACCACTCTCTACAGGGGGCACCGGAATCTGCAGCACGCCTTGACGACGGTATCTCTGCCTATGTTGCCCATAGTATCTCTGGTGGAAGCTTTGAGGGTCTACATGGTATTGTGCGGCCTACTGTTCATCTCCTTCTCCAAGACGCCCCACGCAAAATAGGAGATAGGTTTGCAGTCTGTCGATGATAAGTCGGACGACAAGTGGCACAAAGAATATATAAATGTAGGACTTTATTAAACACGAAACACCTGGTAAGACTTCCATGTTCGAAGGTGTTGCTGTGACAATCACTAAATGAAAACTGGCGCCAAGTTTGTCTGGGACCCCCCCACACCTTGTGCAGATGAGGCTGCTGACAACAGCTGCACGTTACCTTCTGAAAGTTTCCTTTTCTGGCAAGTCATGTCAGCAAAATGAAAAAAAAAATTCGGATTTTGGAATTTCAGATAAAGGATACTCAATCTTTATTTTGGTGCTTCATTTTCTACGGCTTCTCAAAAAATTTGAAGCCAGAAAATATTATTAGACTGTAAATTTAGCAGGGGGGGATAACAATGACTTAGTGATACTAGTCTTACTAATTAACCCAAAGCTGTTGGCTGAAGAAGTAGAGACATACGTTTTCTAAGACCCGTAATGAAATAAACGAAACAAACTAGAATTAGAAATCGGCTTTCTTATTACCAACTAGCAGTAGAGCCCGGCGTTGCCCGGGGATGTAACAGTAAGAGATGGATCAAGTATCGACCATCATAAAGACTGAAAAATAAAATTGACAAAGATTATTGTTTAAGGTTGACGGACACACATGTCTGAATTAGTATTTTTTGTTTTGTTTTTTTTTTTTACGAATTGGTCAAACCCAACCTCAAACAAAAACATTGTTTACAATCGTTATGAGTCTATCGATTGAAAAGAATTTTATTATAAACAATTGTCTTGTAAATAGAATTTTTAAAGCATCCTGAATGTAAAAATAAAGAAAAAAATGTGCAAGACAATAAGAAACACTACCTGTCAAAAAAAAGGGAAGTTTTGTTGAAATCGGTTGAAAAATGTAGGTCGCCTTTCCAGTAATTTTTACAATTTATGATTTTTACTTATTGAATACAGTAAAAAAAAATTGCATATTTTGCTTGTGGTGATTCATAATTAGAATTCTGATTTGAATATATTTTCCACTCCTTGTTTCTAATACAAAAAATATTAACTTTATTAGGGTTTATTAATTTATTACATGTACTGTGTTCTTTCCTTAAATAATTATCATCTTCGAAATATTGTTGTTTGTTGTCTATCAGATTTCTTACGTCGGAATTTTAAAATTATTTCTTAATACTTTCTTTTAAATATTGAATTAATTTCAAATAGAACCAATGCCTTATTGATCTACTTTGTAACAAATTGCAAAGGGAATTGTAAAAACGGCCTTAAAGTACGTGGAATTATGTTTCCCTAAAGATAAAGAATTATCCGATTTTTCGATTCGTACAATCAGTAGAGATCGTTAGATTATTGTTTAGGTTGACGGACACGCAGTTTGTTTTTGTTTTTTTTACGAATTGGTCAAACTCAGACAAAAACATTGTTTTCAATCGTTATGATGAGTCCCCCGATTGAATAGAATTAGAATTTTATTAAAAACAGTTGTCTTGTAAATGGAATTTTTAAAGCATTCTGAATGTATAAATAAAGAAAAAAGTGTGCAAGACAATAAGAAACACTACCTGCCAAAAAAAAAGTGGACGTTTGTTTTATCGACTGAAAAATGTAAGAAATCCGATCTCATATATAAAGGAACACACATACACACACATACACAAACAACCTGTTTTTTTTAACCCGATGTAAGTTGTCCCCTTTCATTCTCACGATGTGTCTTAATCGTGTTTTCAAATTGATTTTGTTAAAAACAATTGTGTTTTTCCCATTTTCGGCGCCGTTAGAACCACCACAAGGTAATTTTATGTAGTCCTGTAAAGTTTTGTTGAAATCGGCTAAAAAATGTAGGAAATCCGATCCAATATATAAACGTTACAGAAACACACACACACACAATCTGCGTTTTATAATAAGTAAGATTCTGAGCCATTATCCATTACGCCACCTGCACATCCAAGCTTACACCCACTGGTATTCCCAAGCGCTCACCTATCTAGGTACAGATTCAACCTTGCTTAACATCGGGGATCGTACGGAATCAAGTGTTTCAATGTGATGCGGCCGTAAGTCCTCGAATATACAAGGAATTGTTGATGCCTATCCTTCTTTTACCCTTTCACTGCAAAAGATTCTCCAAAAATAAGCGGAATAATTCCTAAACTTTGTATTAATTATCCTTTACCCGGTAGAATATACCTCGCATCAAAGGAACTGCAGCTGCTAGTTAACAGTTCTCAGTTCAGTGAAATAACAAACTCAGCATACTTAAAATAGAAGATCTGTTAATTTATTTTTTTAATTAATATGATATTCATTGTCGAAGTCGCCGTCTGCCATTCTGATTGTTCATATTTACTGGGTGTCTCTTACGTTTTTTACTTCTAGAGTTTCGTAAAGATTTAAAAAACAAAAAAAAAATCGATTTATTTCTACGTAGAGTTACTTACATTATCTCGCCGAGCATGCGCGCTTAAAAACAGGGTTTCCACAAGACGTCAAGCTAAAGAAAAGAAAATCACGGGGAATAATGGAAAACAGAAGAAAAAATAAACGCCAGAATATCAGACTTTATAATAATTGATTTTACACCGTATATTAATTTGGATGTAGGGGTGGTGTAATTGATAAATATTTAAAATTAGTAATCTATAGGTCGAGTTCGATGCATTCCCTTCGTAAAATGTATGGAGCCTTACTTTCTACCCCCAGCTATCGAAGCTGGATTTGCTCAGTGACAGAACCTAACACTTAATTCTAATACTATCATGCATAATATTATTTAAACTAGCCAATGGTTGATATTTAATTATTGCGAGTCAGATGGAAGATTGGAGTCATGTTCATTAGCGCCTTGTGCCCCCGCCCTCGTATATGATGACACCTGATGACGTCATGAATGACAATCTAACTAGTGATTATGTGTTGGTGATATTACTGGCTAGAGTTGTTAGCATGGGTGGTAGCATTTAATGAATTTTGCCTTTCTGTTACCACAACCAATGCCTTCTCTGCCATCCAGTTATTCAAGCTCACCAAGTAAGATATGCTGTTGTTTTCCTCTGAATCTCTTGACTTCAATCGGTGCTGTTAGTATCATATATTCCAAGCATTCTTTCCTCATGACGTGTTCTACTAACCCCATTTCTCTCTTCCTGGTGTTAATTATAAGGTTTTCGTTTTATCGGTGTTAACATGTTCGGTCATGGTATTCTCATCATCTTTCTGTAGAATCACTTTTATGTTGCTTCAAGGATCTATTATTCTCACTTTTGTTGTTATCAGAACATTTTCACCGTTGTGTCTTCAGATGTATATCGATTTGGGTAACCGAGGGGGAATCCTGAGCTGAAACGTTTATTTAATCTACGAGAGTAAGCAGGTCACGTTCCGATGTTCATGTCCAGGGATATGGCCCCGTTCTTTACATGTTATCTAGTAATGTTTAGCATATATATATATATATATATATATATATATATATATATATATATATATATATATTAGTAGTAATAATCTCATAAGTATAAGAAATTATACGCGTCTCGACAACATTCGGTGCCTTGATTTGCGAATAATCAAACCAATGCCAAAGGCAGAAAAAAGGTATAAAAAAAAAGAAAGAACCAAGGACATGTACGTTAGCCGAAAATAATCGTCTGGCATGCAAGTCCAAAGTCCAAAGAAAATAACCTCGATACGAGTAAGCAAAATAACTAAATAAAATGCTCAATACGGTAAGTAGAGCAGACCTAGTTGGACCTAGAGAGCCAAACAAACCTAATAAGGTTTAACCTTCGCGGATTGTCAGCTAACGATCCGCTTAGATGAAACCTTGGTAGGTTTGTCTGACTCTCTAGTTCTAACCATATATATATATATATATATATATATATATATATATATATATATATATAATCATTCGTCCATGCATTGAATATTGTTGCCATTTAAGACATGATACTGTCGTTGTTCGTCTCGAGTTCCTCGATAACAAAATCCAAAGAAGGATATGCAGCATCATAGGCGCTGACGAGGCATCTCGACTCCTGTCACATTCTCACAGACATGATGTGACTTTCCTCTGTCTTTTCAACAAATATTTTCATTGTAACTACTCTGACGAGCTATTTTCACTGGTGCAGGAACAGCAGGAATTTAAGCTTGCTACTAGGCTAGCATATCCGTTCCACCATCCTACTGTCGAAAGAGTTAAATGAAACCGCCTCTTCTACTCCAACAGCTTCTTCTCTCGCATTTCCCGACAGTGGAACTCCCTTCCTCTTACTTGCTTCCCTCATAACAAAAAACATCAAATATTCAAATGTAATGTCAATCGACATCTTCTGATGCGTTAAGCTTGATCACTGTCCTTCTCTTTATCCTTTCATAAAAAAACCCTCTTTACTCTTACTTTCATTCTCTGTAACCCCTTGTGTGTTATATATATATATATATATATATATATATATATATATATATATATATATATATATATATATATATACGAATACAGGGTTGGTATAGTTGGAATAAACTTCCAGTAACCAAAAACACTATTCTTAAAGAGTGTCCAATACAGAGTAGGGCGAATAATATTTATTTAAAAATTATTATGTAAGTATGGTGTAACATCACTGCAAAAAAATCCATTTTGTTTCAACACTTCGGTCGTCTTGTCAAGTGAAGGTGTTGCAATTAAAATAACAAGTTTTTAAAAGTTAAAAACCAACCACTAACCCCACTAGGGGGAATATATTTTTATGTAACATGTAATGGCCAATCAAATTACAGGTATATAATAATTCAAATAACTCTACGACGGAACCTAGATACAATCTATTAAGGTTTTAAAATAAGTATTGGATTTCATAGGAAATCAGGATAAACAATTAATCTCCAATTTATTATGTAATTAGAATACATAGTTATGTAGATTAATCTCTAAATGTAACCATGCACTATGTTTAGAAACTAACCAAATTATTCAAAGAAAAAAACGGAAAAAAATATGCCTAAACATTCATGTATTGTTCTTCGAAATATGTTAAATTTTTTGTCCGAATCTGAGCCGTAGTAGGATTTGCAATATATGGCTATATAGTCAGTTGCATGACTGGGTCGTGATGACACGTTTCGTGGACAAGGGAGATAGGTTTATTTGTGACTAGACGTACATGCATCACATCATAATAAACAAACACATAAATGTGATTAAATATATGAGCAAACTACGACAGATTCATTAAGAATCAATCTTCCAAAATAACTACAGAGACAACGCAAACGATTCGTCAGAATTGCACAAATATTAATAATCGCAAACTTAAAGACCAAAAGATTAAAAAAAATAAAGACTTACAATACCATTTCATATTTCTACACAATAGTCTATCTAGAAAGAAAGTTATAATGTAATTTGCGCCTACATTAAACAGTGAGCTCTTTCCTTTGATTAAAAAAAAGATTATCTTATCCTTAACTCTAATTATTTCAAACTTTTCATTGAGGCAAAGGTAATATTGTACATATAAAGAATTACGGGTACGAGCTATTGCAATTACCTTCCATATACAATAGGAGTTTTGTTTTACTTCTCTAAATTAGATTAGTATTTGAACAGCGTGGTAGCATGTGTATGAGAATTATTTTTGAAAGAAAAAAACATGCTGGCACCAGCGGAATGAAATGGATCTTTAGTACTACTAATATATAAAATTAATTGATGTTCCGGTTTACAAGTGAAGAATTGTTAAATAGGTAAACCGTTAGACATATTTTCTTCGTTTTTTCTTTGAAAATTTCTGTTAGTTTTAAAACATGATGCATGGTTACATTTGCGTAATTTTTTAACTTTTTTAATTATATAATAAGTTGGAGATTAATTATTTATCCTGATTTCCTATAAAATCCCATACACACAATATTTTGACCATTTCAGTGAACTAACTAAAAATCATGTTTCTCATACTGATAGTCTCTTTTGCAGCTCAGGTAGAGTAAACAGTGGCGAGGAGCGGATATTAGTCGATGAGTAAAACCTCAGGAAAAACTGCATAATATTCGAAATGCTGGTGGTTGGATTCTGAGGTGATTTGATGAAGTATTCCCCATACATTTACATTCCTTGGCAATTCGCCTGAGTTCGTTTTCCTTACCTCACCTGTCGACGGCAGTTTTCAGATACCGCTGATATCTGTCTGTAATTCGATTCGCATATTTCCGATTATACCCTTTTAACATTTACTGGGGAAAAACCTACAGTAGTCTCACACTAATAATTATTCCTGTGTCAGACGCTGTTTATTCATGCCAGTGGCTAACTCTTTACGTGTTACGTCACACAGAGATCATCTATACGAGAGTGCCTACAAATTTCGAAGGGTGAAGCCATCCTTTGTAATATTTTTTTATATCTATTTTAGTAATTCAGTTTACAGCATATATGAATGTTAAACTGATATAGAAGGTGTAGCAAAATAGCTCCCACATTTTAAATTGTTATCTGTGTAGTTACACAAGTAGCAATGATGTCTACTATTTGTTCGCAGATACGATCAGTTACTCCAATGGATTTGTCCGGTGCACAATGTGCGCTTCCTATTGAAATGTTTATTTTTAAGACGTGTGGATGCACATTTTTATTTCACATTTCATATGAGATCAGGATGATATTCAGGATAGAAAATCGAAAATGCTATGGGTTGAAAGTTTCAGGGCAACAAGTTCAGCGCTTAAAAGAAAGCCACCTGAAAGAGTTCGAAAAGGTCGAATTCCAACGTATGTCCCAGAATGGTCACTATTGGAAGGATATCATTTTCAACATCAAATCAATACAAAAAATATAGCACTTTCTTTAAAAAATAGTTATGGCCACAGATGCATTCCAGATTATAAGAAGAGTATTAATGAATATAAAAATTTGTTAGAAAAAAAGTGTATGGAATGTTACGTGATATATTTTCTCCTGCATGGCTCTGAATGCTGGAAAATCTACTCAGATATGAAGAAGAGATTTGAACCAACAGAAATGTGCTTCTACAGAAATACCCTGCTTCAACATTCTTCT